ACGTCACACAAATCATTCAGCTTCCATAATAGTGCAGCTCATTTAATATTTGTATTTGAATTCTTGCCATTATTCATAATCTTTAAACAATAGTTCTCACCAAGTACATTTATATTTTATGCTCTATTCCCATAGGTGTGTTTTCCTAGTTGTATTCAAGCTGGATTTCATTTTATTTCTGGTCCACCCACTTTACCTCTTTAATTTTAGCTGAACTTTTTTTCTCAGCCTCTTGTGTTGGAAGTAGTGATCCCACTTTTATTCTGTATTAGCTCACTTATAGCTATGAAGGAAAAAAAATTTCTCCAACGTCTGTCACTTTCTTCATGTCAGAGATGAAAACTTTGCAAGTCTCACTATTATCCTTGTATCCCAAGGTAAGGTCCTCTGTAAAGGTGAGATTTTAGTCTGAAATGATATAAAAATGTACCAGTCACATATTGACAACAGAGGAAATCAAAGGGAGATGGAGGTAGGATACAGTAAAAGTGGTGAATTGTGATGTCCCTGTTGATATTATTAACACATGTTTTTCTTTATTAGAAGCAATATGGTGACCAGGGTGGCAGGAAAAGCCATTTGTTTGACCAGTCAGTGTATAGCTGTTAGATGGCTTGGTATATCTTCTCCAGCTCATTTCAGCAAATGGGGCCAGCAGAGTATTAAGGACCTCTAAGCAAATCTCTTCCTATACAAACAGCAGTTGTCTGCTTAGGAAATCCATGTGATCCAGCACAGCATGTGAGAATAGAGAATGTAGGAAATGCTTTACAAAGCTCTAGCACTAACATAGCCACTTGGTTAGAATTGATTTGCCTGATTTTCTGCCCCCTGTGCAATGAATAATCTGTCAAATTATGTAGGGAGCTTGGTAGCCACAATGTCACAGCAGGCTGTTGGCAGAATTAGGTAAAGTTTCCAGTGTTTGACTATTTAGGAATTTTATACATGTTGTCCAGGACTTCTGTGGCTGACTGTGCAGAAATTGACAGTTTTTCTTAACAAAACACCATTACAACAGTTTGTCTTTCTTTTTTTTTTTTTTTTTTTTTTTTTTCGGTTTTGAGATGAGCAGCAAGATGGTTTCACCATTCACCTACTTCATGTGGGCACCCTTGTTCTGATTCAGGAAAAAGCCCTAGAACAGTACTTTTGCTCTGTGTGTGTGTCTCAGTTATTTTCCTGTTCAATTTGAATGTGAATTAATTGGTAGCCTATATTAATACTTGCTTGCATAAGGAATGCATGATTTTGATACGCTTCTACATGGATTTGCTAGCTATCTGTTGGATTAAATATTTAATATGTTAATTTCTGGCTGCAGTTGAGTATTGTCCCAGATCAGTGCAGCTTCTCTGAGTTGTAAGTCTATCTAGAGATTATCCCGTTGTTAAAATTATTGGTATTATTTTAATGTCTGTTCTGTTCTTTGTGACATGCTTCTGCAAGAAGAGATTGGGCTGTGCATCACAGAAAACTCTGTATCAAGTTACATAAAACTTGCTGAAAAGTTACTCTGTAGCTGTACCCAGCCTAAGAAGTGCTACTAGGGAATTCAGTATTTTCAGCTGAAAAAGGATCTGGAAGTAGTTTACAACAATGGGTGAATAGCCTTTCACACCAGTTTTTGCAGATGGGAGATCTACACTGGTCTTCAAATTGGGATGCCTAAGCCATGTAAACAGCATTTTACCTGGTGAAACTGCCAGCAAAGAAAAAAAAAAAACAAACCAAAGCCCAGACCATTAAAATAGCATTATGGGATAACTGAATTTATTGTTGGTAAGATATGAGGCTAACTTCTTTGTGCTCTAGATACGTGGATACACTTATCAATTGCTTTTTATTATGATTAAAACTTCAGTTACTTGAGTCCTGACTACTTCTTGTCGGTACTGTCTCGGAAGTCCTGCCTTGGAAACTGCAGTGTTCTAACACTCTTAACACAAAATGCTGAAACAAATTGGCTATGCCTCTCCAAAAGATTATTAGGCAGAACAGACCATAGGATTGAATGTCTATAGGTATATGTTCACAGTCAGTTTGTTTCAGGATTAACTTTATTAAGTTTGAATAGCAGAACTTGACCATATTTTTCCTTTTTTTTCCCCCAAATTTCACATTTGCTTGAAAATGTTATGCTTCCTGGAAGACAGAATCCATATTGGCTGGCTTCACATGTTTTGTTCAGGATTATTGGATATACTTAGAGAAGCCTCTTAGTTGATACTGTACTGAGCTCAAAAGTATCTTGTTGTGTTGTTAAACTGGGACATGGGGAAACATTACATTCTTATTTACAAAAATAGGCCATAGTTTTCAGGCCCATTTTCAGGGCCATTTTTTCAGTAGCATTACCACCATGTGCTGCATGTTGGCTGAAGTCACGCTGCAACTGGGAAAGAACTTTCTCTTTTCATTAAACTTTAATAAATAAAAATAAAACAACTTTAAGTTGTTTTTTATTGTTCACATAAGTATTGGTTTTGATTATTTAAAAGACTGAGATCAAATACAAGAAAGAAAAGCAGCAGTGTTTTTTCTTCTTTTTTCCTGTTTGCTTTTTAGAAGTTAAGGTGAACTGTCATGTACCTACTCCTTCAGAATTAGAAGCATCCTCAGTTTTTTGTGGTTCCCTGCCTGAGGAGGATGGGAATATTTACAGTGGTGCTGAACTAAATTTATGAACTAATGAGACACCTGCAGTTCATTCAGTTTTGCCTTCCTATGCGCTTGTTGTGGGGTACTATTGTCAAATATTCTGTAATTTTAATAATAAAGAGAGCCCTCTTTATAGGTGTGCTCCATTCATTTTTGAGGCTTTCAATGTTTGCAAAAATATAATCAAATTGCCATGCTAAACCTGAATAGATTATGTAAAATTAACACTGGCTTGTAGAGACATAAGATACTTCCCCCGGTTATGTGAAAACAGCCCAGTTTGTGAGAAGATTAGACCTTGTTCTTTGGGCTGAAAAGGAAGTATATCAGTTATCAATTGAAATAAAGTTTATTCTTCTTTTGAAAGCATCAGCTGGATTTTTAAAATAATTCTTGTTTTTTGAATTCTAAAAAGAGGTGCTATTTTCCCAAATTCTGATTTCTGATGTGAACTTGAGTTGTACATGAACATTTTTCCCCTCTTGTGAACCTAACAAAATAGTAATTAAAAAAAGAATGGAATACCTCATCTCAACTTCTCAAACAACAGCTCCTGCTCCATGGTTTTCCAATTCTTAAGTGTTTCAAAAACCTCCTCTAGATTTTAAATCTTTTATTGGTCCAAGTCTCTCTAGAAGGAGAGCTTCTCTTTAGGCTACTGTGGGATATCACTTGGATCCCTCTACAGCAGTGGCAGTGATTCTGCTTTGAGATTTTGGGCAAGCAGAAGGATTCCTTTTCTTTCCTTTCATCCTTAGATAACAGGAAGTATTTTATGTTGTAGATAAAGTTTTCTCAGGTGGAGGGTGGAGGGGAGACAGCTGTTAGACTAGATGGAAAAATTAATTAGATTTTAGGGATGCTATCACAGATCTGCCTTTCTATAAAGGAAGGCAGATCTGTGATATCTCTGAGCTAATTGTATGGAAGACTGGTAGTAGAGCAAGTGGGTATTACTGAAACCTGACAGTCTCTGAGTTGATGGCTTTATGGAAACTGACTCCTGCAAGACACAATCTGCTTGATGAGCTTGCAGCTGGCTGGTATTACATATTTGCAGCATTATAGCAGTGCATTTGCTAGGTGGGACATAGCACATAAAAAAGGGACCCTGTTGAAAATATCTGGAGAACTCTCTCTCTTTTCAGGCAGACCTGAGTTCTGCTGTCCTTGCAACTAACTTTTGCGCGTTTTGCATTCAGTGATAAGCTGTTTGAATGAGATCTGACACATGTTTTCACCAGTTGTCACTAGCCACTTGCTTAACTTAAACTGTAGTGATTATATTGCCTGTAGTGATTGCTTTCTCAAGGACTGAAGTTGTCAAATGTTTAAGAAGAAAACCCTTAGGTACTATGAAAATTAGCCAGCATCTCAAACTGCTTAAGTAGAGCCTTGTTGCTGAAGTAGTTTGTTCAGAGCATTTACTTGACTCCTTTCCAGTGGTAAAGGTTGTTAGTAAAATCAACAGCTGACCTCATGAAATAACAGGATAACCAGAATTATTTTTCTCCGGCTTGAATAAGGACTCTGCTTTCTGTTTGCTGTAATTCTACTATTTTAAGCTGCGTCTTCACTTCTGGACATCATCAGTAGCATAGGCTCAAGTCCTGGAGGTCACAGTTACCTTTGGGGGCTGAGCTTGGCTTGCAGTGCTGTCTATTGATTGCACCATTCAAACTGTTGTGGCTTTTTTTTTTTTTTTTATTTGAAGATGCTGGTTTTATTCTATCACTCAAAGATTCAGTGAAATAAAATATGTTATGGCTTTTTCTCTAAGAATGACAGAACTTGGGTTTCTATACTGTGGGGAATTTCTAAACATAAGCAAAACACAGTCTTGAAGGATCTGGAGAGCTGTCATTCCAAATATTGCATGGAAAATGATTTTTAGTTTATTATAAAACCTAAGCCCTTCAGCATTGTAGGTGGTGTTTGAATGTACTATCTGGGATTTAGTTCCACTACTAAGAATGATCTTTATCTTTAATCAGACATGTCTGTCTTTCTTCCAGTCTCAACCAGTCTTAGCACTGCAGCATAGTGGTATCCTGTAATTGTCAAGTTTAACACAGGCATGTGTTTTCTTGAAGTTAATTGTTGTTTCGTGAAAATGTTTTGAGAGTTCATAATGTTAATATGGTGATTATTTCCTGATGAAAAACAGGTCAAGCCAAAAGCAGATTGCAAGCTCACATCACCTTGCACCAAAATGAAACCCTGTATGTGTTCAGCTAGCAGTGAGGCAGATGTTCCTTGGATTTACAACTTCTCACAGCCACCGGGATTAAGAAGTACTTTTTCTGCAAGGTCCAACGTCATTGAAATAGCTGCGACTGCATTGTATATTCAGAATATGCTGGCATCTGTGGTGAAATTAGAGATGGTGCTTATTGCAGCCAAGAGTACAAGGTATTGGGCAAGGGTTTTTGTCTATTCATGGGCTTTTGTTTTGTTTACTTTGTGTTAATTGGGATTTTTTTTAAGTTTTGTTTGCCCAGAAAAGTTTGCTCAAACTATGTAAAAGTCATCAGTTAATTGATGATGATCTTTTGATAGAATATTTGGATATTTACTGAACTTGAAATACATAAAGACTGTCATATCTAAGTTGAAAGGACATGTTTAAATGGAATGCCAAATTGAAATTTTATTGGGAGACAAGCCAGGAAATGAAGAATTATGGTTCTGATATGGACTAAATTGAAAATACCGCTTGCTTTGTGTCTGTACAGTGCTTCTGATTAAGGAATCAATTTCTTGTTTATTCTTTGCTGAAAAATTCATGGGTTTGAACTTATGTTTTTACTTTAAAAAAATAGACATTTCTAAGAAATGTGAGAACCAATAACATATGATCTGGGAGTATAAATAATATTTTTCTAACCCTATACTAAGCTTGAAATAATACTGATTTGAGTTATCAGTCCATTTTAACTAGTGGTTTAAGTCTGTGGGTGAAGCTGTGCAGTGAGCGGATTGACATTATGTTGCTGTTAAAGGAAAATAAGTCATCCTGCTCCTTGAATTCACCCTTGGTCACAATGGTGTGGTTCTGTGGTTATCACTGTGTTTCTCCTGATGGTTTTTTGAATTGATTTGTTCACTAAGTTAGCAGAAAAATCGTTGTATTACTGGGTTACTCATCTTCAGGCTAATACTTGATATAGCTTATGGAGTTTCATGGAGCGAATACCAGAACGAAGTGTGCAGCAGCAAAGGTGGCAATACAGAGGGAGAACAAAAACCCTAGATATTGTGATATATCTACATATGGATGGCAGTTAGACAGGCACAGCTACCTTTATTCCTTCACCCTGAATTTATGAGATTTTGTGGCAGCCTGCTCCAAAATTCCTCACTCCAAATAAATCTCTGTCATCGCTAGTTCAGGAGCCTTATAAGTCATTCTAAGGTTTCTTTCAGATGTTTAATAGTGAGCGCTTTGAAGAAATGAAATCATAAAAGGGTAGAATGGTGTGGGTTGGAAAGGGCCTTAAAGATCCTCCCATTTCAATCCCTCTGCTATGGGCAAAGACAACTTCCACTACGAGGTTGCTCAAAGCCCCATCCAACCTGGCCTTGAAAAATGAAAATGTGGACACAGATCAAGTAAAAGTTAATAGATTGCATACTGGAGTAACTAAACTACCTTGTAGCAGTTTTAAACACAATTTAACTGTGTTTTTTTGAATTTTTATGTGTTGCATGTATAGTGCTTTTTTAAGTTGGGTGTCATTTTGGAGTTTGAAGCTGTGATGTTTGACACTCTTACAGGTATAAGCTGGAGTTTTGGCTCTAGAAGAGTTATGTAGCAATTGCTTTGGTGTTGTGGTAAAATAAGTACTAACAGAAAAGCAAAAATAACTTGGTAGAAAATTTAACACTTTAGATAATGAAGGCTTTATGGGTTTTTGCCACTTATTTCCAAAAAACTGGCCATAAATCATGGAAAAAAATCTCTAGTAAGTATTGTAGTATTGCAAAATATGTTCTTACAGAACTTGATGTGCTGTAAGTTTGATTTCTCTTTTTGGCATCTTAGCTGTTTTAATAGAGTAATTTCTCTCCAAGTGTAATATACTAGATATCATCTCTCTGCTCTCTGCACCCAGTTTGTTGTAGTTCAGAGGGTTCTTCTGGAGACCAAAACAGTTTTCTCATTTCATCATATATGATCCATCTTGATAGAAATCATGGCTAATAGTAATGATGATGGTAAAATTCCCTGTGCAATAGTTTTCATGGGGAATAATGCAGTTGAACTTCTTAGCTGCAGCTCAGATGGTGGACTTTGAATGGTTTTTAAGTCCCAGAAAAGTTCTTACCCTGATCATCCCATCTTCTGCAAATGGGAAGACAGAGAAAGGGATGGAGGGCTCTCTCTTTGCTCAGGCTTCATTCCTGATCTGCACAATTCAGGGGTCAGGACCTGAGACTGTGTTCCGCATGCAGAGGTTGAAGTCAGCCTGAGTGAGCAGTCTGTCTGGTTTGTTTGTGGAGGTGCTGTCAAATTGGCAGTAGTTTTAGGCTGGGCTCATCTGAGAAGTGCCCAGGTTTGACCTCCATGTCCTTGAGGGCTCTTGCTCTTGTGTGTGTGTTAAACTGTTTCTGCATGAAGTAAACATGTTTGACAGATTGGCTTTCCAGCTTTTAGCTCCTGCTGCAGCTCATTTGCCCAACACAGAGGAGCAGGAATGGGAATAAGAGACTTATCCTAGAATTGTCTGTCACCATGTGGTACTGAAATGTAGCCCGATGTCTCACTAATCTGAAAATGAGAGTGAGCTTATTTGTTGATCTTATACGTGACAGCTTACATTTTTTATGCAAAATAGGGTGTTTGGGGATTTGTTTTTAATGAGGCCAGAACTGGGTCAAAATTAACACCTAGAATGGAGGGAGCCTAAAGGCTTAACAGGAGTTTGCATCTGGCAATGCAGAAGTAGAGTGATCTCAATATGACAGAACTTTCTTCTACTTGCCAAGTCATATCAAGTTATTTAACCCAGAGTAGAAATGCCAAGTGGGACCTTTTACTTATCTTTTCACGTTTTGCCTGACATGGTTTTTGATAACTGTTGAACAGCAGAAAATTCTGTTTTTGATCTATGACTCAGATGTTTTTATTCCTAGCAACATTTTATTGGTAAATGAAGATGTTAACACATAACTGTTGCTGTTTTCTTACAGCCTTCTTGTGCTATTGTGTAACCCATAATAAATAATCTTTCAGAACAACACTGTCTTTTTACGGCCTTTTCAAACTAGCAAAACTGTTTTACGTGTTACAGCCATGATAGTGATGACAATTGTAGTAACTTAAGTCTTGACTTTTAGGCACAGTTTGTTTCAGTTTATGTACTATAGAAAGGTGATTTCACAATGCAATTAGTCTGTAAAACACGCCACTTTTTCCTGGCAAAATGAAAATGTAATTATATCCATGTATCAACTCACAGCCATTATGTCAAAGTGAGGGGCTCATATAGTCAGAATAGCTTCATTTAAGGCTAAAATTCTGTTACACCCAAATAATTAGTAATGAATGACTTCCTGTAGTTTAAGTAGTGCTTGGAACTGCTCTCGGGAAAGTTTATCAGCAATGGCATTTGTGCAGAACCTAGATCAACTGGAAGGAGCCCAGTACAGCTGCCTGCAGTTGCTCGGGCTTGGCAGCCTGTCTTCAGGCACTGTGCAAAGTCCTGTCTCTGTGCTGAAAACCTGGGATACTTAAAATAGGCTGTTTAAATCCTGTGCTCTTTGTGCTGGATGCTGGATAGTAATTGCAATAGGAAACCAGGAACTCTTTCTGTTAGATCCAGCTCTCTGTAAAGCTACTGTGCTGCTCTGGAGCTTTATGTGAAAGAAGACCCTGAGTCAGGAAAGTGCTAGAGGCATTTATCTCAAGCTGTGTTTTTTGCCCTTGTCTGCCAGTAAGGGCGCAGCTCCATGTACTAATTCCTTGGAAAGTGGTGCTGCTTGTACAAAGTCCTGCCATTTGCTGCCTTGTTTGTTGTGCTGATGGTGCTGGTTGTAGGGCTACCTTATACTTAGAGTAGATCCATGAAGTGCTGGAGGAATGTTGTTCCTTCTTACATAGAATGATTTCAGCTGAAGGTCTGGAGTATGTGCACACTTCAGAACATGCCCATAATGTGCACTTCCAGCTTTCACTCTCTTATATTTGCAGAAGATATGTTTTCATTTTAATTGTAAGATGTGGGTGGGCGTATGTTTTAATGATAAGCTTGTTATAGAAATCATATTTCACAACATCTACTATACTTTGAATTAAGATTAGCTTTTCAAGTAATTTCGATGTCTTCACAGATGGCAAGATGATAAGATTTACATTCTGCATTAAACACTTTACATCAAGGCTGAACGGGGCAAGTGGTTATGTAATTATTATCTGTGGTTAACAAAGGGAGCCCAAATTAAATATTTTATAAATGAATGTGCAGGATTTATGGACATTTTTCAGGGTCAAATGCAGGTGGCATTGATATAAGATAGGCTGTTGCTGTAGCAGCACTTGCTGGGGAATATGTGAGCCATGAGAGTTGGTGCTGCTTTCTGGGGCTACAAGTGAGCTGTGTTTGGTAGCAGCCTAGGGAGAGGAGGAAGCCGCAGACACTCTGCTAGTGAGAAGCATTGGGGAGAACTGTCATATAAACAGGCTTATTCTCTTCTCTTGCACTTCCTGTCCTTGTGGCCTTCATGAGCCTCTGTTAATAGGAATTGAAATTGTGGTATGAGTTGCAAATGTCTGGGAGACTTCTTGGTCTCTCTACTGTGATTTATATGCTCCTGTATCCTTATGCTTTTGTGTCACCATCTAGTCCTTTATGTGAAGGTGGAAACCCTTCCAGAATTTTGGTTTACCACAGTGGAAAAACTATTTTAGTGATAATGGCAATACAATTTTAATATATTCACTGATTAGTGTAGTATGATTTTCAGAAAATGAAAATAGGAAATTAAATAGACCAAGACACATCAACCTTGAATCTAGCCTCTCTATCTTCACCTAGCTTAGCATTGCATTAACAGTACTTGATGTCTGCAATTTGGGTTTGTAAAAATGTTAAAAACTTAGTAGTTTTCAAAAATTTTTAGGCTTTTCTGTTAACTTTGAGTTAAAGTGTGAGATTGAGTGATTATCTATTTAAGACCATATGGCTGGAGCATCTTATGGTGCAAAAATCTATATATAATCTATATATCTATTAATATCATTGGCATTCTGGACTCTGGTTCGCCTTTGCCATTGTCTCTGTTATAGTTTGGCTGTTATAAGGTCTAAAGACATGATGGATTGTGGTGCCGAGGATAAACTATGTGAAAGTCTTTTTTGGGGTGCTACATGAAAAAAACAGTTTTAGATGTTCAATTAAAAAAAAAAAAAA